AGTGTAGAGTAGGGCTTGTTGTTTGTCATTTCTCCGATCACAAATGCAGACATGGTTTTATGTTTACACTGCGCAATGCGACGCAACGTGTAAAAAGACAGTATAAGTCATTATACTCCGTAATTATGTCCCCACTGGATGCAACAAATGCCTTGTTTGTAATGGGATTTATTGGTTTTGTCTTGTCGTCCGGGACACGACATCACAGTATGGTGAGGGGCGTAACATTTCCATCACACGGTTGAGGTATTCGGCCAATCACAACGCACTAGATAGCTGGCCAAGCTTTGTAAAAATCGACGCGTTTCAGAAAGGCGGGGCATAGAGGAGAAACAATAATGCACAGTATGTGGAAAATAATGTGTTTTTTGAACCTTAAACCACATAAACACATTTCATTACACCAAATACACCAAATAATGTTTTTTTAGCAATGTCATATGACCCCTTTAAGATATATAGTTCACTCATGCGCATTGAGTGAAGAACTGGTTAATGTGCCTCTCTGTTCACTTCCTTACATTCCAGTACCATCCTGTACTACATTTGTTGTCTGAATCACATAGATTGCATTAATTCTTCTGGAATTTCATTCCCCACCCCACATAGATATTGGCAATTTTGCAGTCAGATCCCATCCGTCCCCCCTGCTGCCCATCAGAGAGCAGTCTGCAGGAACAGAATAGGAGATTAGACTTGGCCTTGCGTTTTCATTTTCCAATCTCTGTAAAGATCAGCTGCTGCTCTGAGACCCTCTGCCTCAGTGGGAGATGAAACATGCAGGAAGAGGGGTGGGGGGGGGGAGATGAATTTGCAAAAAGCAGAAGATAGGACAGTGAAGGAACAGTGACGCTACTTTTTATCCATAAAACAGTCAGCAATGTGGTGTTTTGACTCTTGAGCACTTCTCTTCTCTAGGCATGTATATCTCGCGATTAAGCCTGAATCTATACAGTAAATCACACAACTCAAAACATTACATTTGTTCTAAAATGAAAGCGTCCTCTGACGTGAAAGCTGGAATACACAGGAAATGAAACTGCTCTGACTATGTGGTTTTTTTTCTGTTCTGTGCTCTTGGAGTGAGTGAAAGGGTGTGATTTAATGTTATCGGTACTGCATGTTCATCAGAATATTCTGAGATCAGCTGAATCTGACAGGAAGCATCGGAAGTTGAATTAGAGTGCAGCACAAAGGTGTTTTCCCAAACCCTTTTAAAGAGCATCACTTTTTGTCTATGCTGTAGGAGACCCAGCAGATCCCCACTGAGGAGGTGCAGCTGGAAATCTACCTGTCCAATGGCCAGAAGGTCAAAGTCAACATCCTCACATCTGACCAGACCGAAGATGTTCTGGAGGTGAGAATGTTGTTTTGTTACTGTTTCCAAAGCACACATCTGCATCGTGTTCTCAAAGCGATCATCACTGCCAGGTTTAAGCCTTTGTCATTTTGAATAGTAATGTCTGTGGTTTACTGACACCTTTCATTGTAATTGTGAGCTAGCATTAATATTTCTAAACTAATTCATATGGTCAAGGCCAGAAATACATAAAAACAGGACATCCACATTTTTCTTTGATTTTACAAGTCAAGGATTTATATTTGTTAAGGCCTTTAAGCACTGCTCTAACTCTGTTACATTTGTTTATTGCTCAGCAATAGGTATAGTCTTATGATACAAACCGAACCAGTATTGTTTTGCCACAATTTGAATGCGATTTCTAGCTAATATTGCAAATTTTCTTTGTAAAGAAAACAACATTTGATAAAAAAATTAATAAATAAAATGTATATGTGTGAATATTAAATAATTTAAAAATATATAATGTATAAATTATACATTTAAAGCAAGATTTAGTTTTTCAATTTTAAATGTAAATACAAAATTATAAATTAAAAGTGTGGCCAAAGTTGTTTCATTATTCAATTACAAATTTGTATTTTTGCAAATGAGATGTGCCTTTGTCCAGTGCCTTTTTTTATATACACTACAGTTTAAAAGTTGTATGTATATGTGTGTATATGTGTGTGTGTATATTTAATTGAAGTGAATATTTTTATTATTGACCACGTGTGACAATAAATACATTTATAATTTTGAAGGATTTACTGCCAAAAATTAATCAGTTTTCAGAGTAATGGTGATGAAAATTCAGCTTTGTCATCATAAGAATAAATTACATTTTAAAATATATTCAAATATAAAGCAGTTATTATAAGTAATAATATTTCAGAAAATTACTCTTTTTACTGTATATTTGATCAAATACATGCATGAAACGTTTAGAAGACAAAATAGAACATTAACTACAAGTCTAAAAATGTAGATTAATCACGGTTAATCATTATTTAAATTAATCCACACTTTTAATATAGACTTTATTCCTTTTTAAATGAAATGAATTCATACAATATGTGTTGTACTTAGTCTGTGTTAAAAAAAAAGAACACAAATCATGTGTTTCTTCACTTAGACCTGCTCTCCAATCAGCAAACACATATTTGAGCCTGGGTTTTAAGGGCTTTAAGGAGCTCTTTGTGGATCATAGCTTTCCCATGTGCACCACACAGAGTCATGGCTGATCCAAGCTCTCATTAAAATGCACCCTGCACCCATATTCAGCTTTCTGCTGCATTATTCAAGAACACTGATGACCCAAAGTACCCTTTAGCACCTGATGAAAGTCAAGTGCTACACATAAAACGGCATAAACGTAGTGAAGTGTAATCTGATCATGGGATCTGCTTGGATGTAATGTTTAACACCTCAAACACAAAACTTCCGAAGCACTTTTAAAAGTGTGGGCACAAAAAGAAAAGCTTATATTTTTAAAAATGGCACCGCATATATAGTAAGGAAACACAGAATGGAATATGCAGTGTAAAACATTTATCATTAGGGAGGAGGAAACGTTAAGACCATAAGATCATCATTGGGTTAAATGTACCTAAGTTAGTTTTCTCTGAAGAGAAGATCTGTCCAATAAAAGCATGGCAATGTAGCAAGGACAATTACTTGTCTTAATTCACATAGAGACATAATTTATCAAGCTTATGTTTAATGACTTGTGTGCTTTGCCTGTGAATACATGTGCATATCTTGTGAATTGGTTTGCAGTCATCTCTTGTTGAACAACATTGCAAGTTATCGCAAACGCTTGATTGCAGTTGTTGCTGCTAAGGGTGGCCCAACCAGTTATTAGGTTTAGGGGGCAAACACTTTTTCACACAGGGCCATGTAGTTTTGGATTTTGTTTTCCCTTAATAATAAAAACCTTCATTTAAAAACTGCATCTTGTGTTATCTTTTACTAATATTTAAATTTGCTTGATGATCTGAAACATTAAAGTTTGCCAAACATGCCAAAAAATAAGAAATCAGGAAGGGGGCCAACACTTTTTCACACCACTGTGTGTGTATATATATATATATATATATATATATATATTTGTTTGTTTTTGTTTTTTGTAAATTTACAACACTTTTGAAATCTTTACAGTGACAGCTATAAGCGACAACCATAAAAAACAATTCGAAATGTGGTTGTGATGTTGTTGTAGTACATATGTATTTAAGACATTCCTATCACATAATACCATTCTTGTCTTAACATGCTGTCTAATGTCAGACTACTGAAAGGGTAAGCCAGAGAGTAGAATGAAAAGTTGTGACGGCATGCACTATGCTATAGATCTAACTGTCGTCTCTTCTTCTTTTCACACTCCTGTTTTTAATGTTTCTAAAAGCTCAGTGCCCATTTCAGTTCAGTTCCTGGCTTCCGTCTCTCCCTCTTTCCCAACTCTAGAGAAAACGTCTTTTCTAACAGCTGCAGCATTTTTTCGCTCTCTTCCTCCCTCCTTCCCTCCCTCTGTTCCTCCTCCTCTCTCTTGCACAAAGTGATAAACATGTTATTGTGCCCTCTACGGCTTGAGCCAGATGGATTCTCCCCCATTTCACTTTGGTTGTTGTCATTGCTATTATTCTCCAAATGTCCTTGTGTCTGAAGGCACTCATACCTTTCATCTGGTCTCTCATTCCCTCGTCCAAACCTCTCTGACCTCCCATGGTGCCCCAGACGTGAGAAAACTGCAAGAATTTGAGCTGCCCTACGTGTCCATCACCAGCCTGCATAGCCCTGACTACCGCATCGTCCTCCGTAAAAGGTACAAAACTTATTTTGGGAGTAATGGTTAAGCATTTGGTCCAACAGCAAAGTATATACCGGTATAATAAGAATATATATTTATGTAGCTTAGAGAGGAAGTTCTTCTAAAATGTGTTAACTGTCCTTAGAATGCTTCTAAATCTATAACAAAAACACTTTTTAAAGGGACAGATCACCAAAATTTTTTTTATTATGTCATCATTTAGTCTTCTTTCTGTGGAACGTTAAAGATATTTTGGAGAACATATGAGAATTCTAAGCCTCAAAAAGGATGCAAAAGCACCATAAAAATATACTTTAAAGTCTACGACAGGGGTGTCAAACTCAATTCCTGGAGGGCCAGAGCCCTGCAGAGTTTAGATTCAACCCTATTAAACACACCTGATCTAACTTATCAAGTCCTTCAGGCATATTTGAAAACTGCATGGTATGTGTGTTGGAGCAGTGTTGGAACAAAACTTTTGTTTTGACACCCCTGGTCAACGGAAACCATATGAAAGCCATACTGAGAAGAACAGACCAAAACCGAAAAGCTCTGATTCATGAATGAACCATTCAGACCAGTTTTATGAACTGAATCATTGAGAAGATTATGAACTTTAATGAATGCATCAGGAAGAGCTTTTGAATACATTTTGGTCTTTTATTCACACAAAGTTAACAGATAAGTTGGAATATATCCTACCAAGTCATATAGACCACATTCTTGTTACTTCTATGGTGCTTTTTTTGTCATATTTGTGCTTGACAGCTGCAGTTATCACTTACTTTTATTATATGGGAAATAACGGCCAAGATGATAAGGGCACGGAGGAGTGATATCTTTGGAAACACTTTCAAAACAATTTTTTTCCCAGCTGATGAATGGCAAAAACATTGACAGTCAATCAGAATTCACCCTGCTTTAGAGAGCTTGGCAGATGACATAATTGCAGAGCATGCTTGTCAGGATGCTAAAAGGGTTATCTTTATAGTTATTGTTCTTTTGTTGAACTATCCCTTAATAGCTTAAACTCACCAGATTTCCAGTTTAAAATTGTTTCTCAGAAACTTCATGAGTGCTACCCAAAGTGTAACTTAAATGGTGAGATGTTTTAACAAATAGCTCTCGAAGGGCTATTCAACTCATGGATATTTGCTTTAGGAAGATGTGGCCCACAAGGCTCCATCTTCACTCTGTTTAAATGACTAGAGAGGCACTTCTTGTCTTCCTGTTGTAGACGTGGGTATGATCATTACCTCAGCGGTCTGATCCTGTGGTTCTGTGCAGCAGTAGTTTTCATATTTGCACTTTAGACTTTTTGGACTTGAAGACAGCTGTATTTAGACATCTCTTTTATAACTCAAACGGTCTCTGAAGTGCTGTGCTTTACAGAATCTCTGACGTGGTTAAAGCAATACAAACTTAATTTTTTATTCCCAAAAAAGTGCACATACAGAGTGTAAATGTTGATGCTAGTGGTTTATTAACAGCAGAATTCATCAAATGCCCTTTGGAGTGTGAGGTTTATGTAATGGAATAATTAGCGAGAATCAGGGGAGATTATTTATGTAAAATCTCCAGCAAGGGCATTGAAACACCATGTGTTTCACCATGTGCATTGGAAGCAGGTGTGAAGATGTTACGAGAATATAAATTTCCCTTTTTTAGCACATTAGCACAGCTTAGCAGAGATTATTTTGCTAAAAATGTTTCACCTTTCACCCACTTTATACATCCTTCCCGCTAATTCTCACACCTCGTCATCATATACTGTTGAAAAAGGTGCACAAAATGCTGGCGTGTTTTTCTTTTTAGTCCCCTCAGGAGAACCGCAGGCCCTTTGAAGGCTCCTTGTTAAAGGAGACTACAGACAGCCTTCACCCAGATCCCACCTGTTCACTACATCAGGAATGGAATATAGTTCTGGCTGCTCTGATTGGCTGCTGACAGGCAGGAAAGGGCAAAAAAGTGCAAGAGATGCATGGAGAAACACAGCATTTGTACATTTTGTTTTTACTGTGAAAAGATACACTACTGTTGTTCAACATTTTATATTAAAATAGAAAAGTTATTTTAAGTTGTAGTAATATTTCTTGATATTACCAATTTACTGTATTTTTTGTCAAATAAATGCAGCCTTGGTGAGTGTAAGAGACTTTAGTGTACATTTCACACACTTTTTACACATTTCAGTACACAAAAATTTTACAAAACATGCTCCCATGCCTTTTTTCTTTTCGCTGCCTGTCATGTATACTTCAAAAATGTTCCAGCATAAACCTCTAAAAGCTTTCAAATGGGATTTAACGGCTATCCAGTTTTGGCTGCCATGTGAACAATATCTATTGTCATGCAAGATTGCATCTTTGTGCTCTTGCAGACTCTGCTAAAACTTATTTATCAGGCCTCGTTCTGCCCACGGTGGGATGAGAATAGTTTTTGACATGGACGGTAAGGATGGCCATTGAGCTGAAGATTGCTCATTTGCCAGATTGTCGTTTGCTTCTAGGCAAATGGAGACATTCACTGCAGTAGCATTTTTTCAGTAACTTATACGCTAGTATTGCTGTGTAGCTATAGAGAGAAGCTTTACAGGACAGAACCGTGCTTTTCGCTAAGTTTAACTTAATGGAAGATTTAATTAAAATTAGGGATACACGATATTATCGGACCAATATCGGAATCGGCCGATAATTGCTTTAAATGTAAATATCGGCATGACCCGATATGAAAAATTATGCCGATATGTTTTGCTGATAAGAGGAATAGATCATGTCAGCAGTGTAACTCATTTTTGAATGATGATTAGATTCACTCTTTTGGATCGCTGCATTTAAACTGAGAAAGCAAGTACAGAATGACAAGTTCGGTGTATGATAGTGTAAACAGTAATAGCACGTGCAGCAGTGGCAGCCTCCCCCTGGTCCTAATGCCCGCTCGGTAAGGAGTTTTAATTCCGTAGGGGGCGCTGTTGGCCTACTTTTACTAAAATGAAAGTACAATACACAAATAATATTTAGACTGTTTCTGATTAAATAAAGCAGTAATTGATGTCATAAAATCATGAGTATGTTTTGATTTAAAGGTCAGAAGCTATAGCTTACATGAATAAAAAAAAAATCACAAACATGACACTTGGAAATTAAATAATTTTGAGTATGTTTTGATTTAAAGGTCAGAAGCTATAGCTTACATGAATAAAAAAAAAAATCACAAACATGATTTTAAAATTAAATAATTTGATATGTACTGATTTATTCATTAATGTGTAATGTTATTTTTTAAACAAATTATGAGCTCTAAAATATTTCAGAATTTTTACATCTCTTTTGCTTTAGACCATCTATAAATGTGAATTCTTAAATTAAAATGGTAAGGTTACTACTGCATCTTTCTGAGAAAAAAATGCAGCGATTGATATATAGTTTATTTATAGTTATTTTCAAAGCTTTAATGTACTGTTATTGTAAAAGAACTTCATTATTGTTTAATTCCAACAAATAAGTTCTTGTTAAAAATTAACCAAAATTACAAATAATTAGCTTATTTCCACACAGGAGAGACTTGGTGTTGTTTCCAAACAAAAGGAAATATATCTGTATCGGCTATCGGCCAAAAAGAGTTGAAAAATATCAGCATATCGGTTATCCGGTTATCGGATATCAAAATCCAATATCGTGCATCACTAATAAAAATTCTTCTAGACTATTGGTAAGCTGCCGTCTTGTTAGTTTCTCAGGCGTGTGTACAGAAATTATATGATTATGCAGTAAAATGCAGCGCACATGATTTTAATTCGCTTTAGTGATTAATGGTTTTAGATGATCCATCAGAAAATGGATGTGATCAAAGATGAAGGAGGTAAATTATAGTATTTCCCTTGCATAACTTATCATTATTGTCTCTTGCTCTATTTTTAGCTACTGGGACACAGCATACGACAGTGATGTCATGGACGACCGCATGGGACTTAACTTGTTATATGCTCAGGTAAAAGTCTCCTAGTTTAAAGGATACTCTGTGTATGTGTCCATCGCACAGAAAAGTTGTCCTAAAGAAATTGAAACTAATACATTTTCATGACTCCAAAACTAACTAAAATAAAATAAAAAAAATAATGACCAAAAATAGTTTAATATTTTGATTTTGATTTTGATATTTAAAAAAAAAAAAAAAAAACTGCATTTAAGTAATTTACTGGATAACAATAAATCTAGAATGTCGAGAAATGTATAGTCCATTAAACATTTCAATATGATGTTAGTTTCAACTTTATTGCATATTAACAACCATAAAATACTGTTAAAATTTAAAGTAAAACTGTAAATAATTACAATATTGCTCCATTCGTTAACCGTAGTTAATGCATTAGGTTTCATGAACTAGCATTTTAGATCATGTCAGTTATATATATGTGTACATTTTTAACATTTCAAGTAGTAAAATTAAATTATTTTATGATAAACGAACATAAATTAACAATGAACAACAGTAAGTTTATAAATTCACATAAATCAAGATTAATAATGGGGAAAAAAAACTGTTAATTGTTAGCTCATGATACAAAAATGCATTAACAAATCAAATTAAATCACCACTAAAATTAAATAACCTGGAACTAGAACTAAAAATTAACAATGAAAACTAAACTAGAAATAACAACTAAATTAACCCTGACTGCATATTGAACAAGGTTTTATTATGGAAAACCTGCATAAATCTTCTTAAAAATATATTTAGTCAATTTCAGAGTGAGAATCTTTTTTCCCTTCCTCCTTCCACTCAGACGGTGTCTGAGATAGAGCGGGGATGGATCCTCGTGAACAAAGAACAGCACAGACAGCTGAAATCCCTGCAGGAGAAAGGCTCAAAGAAGGAGGTATGGCTGGGCTCCGCCACACACGTTATTTGATCTCCCTAGTGTCTATGAGCTGGAAAGAAAACAACTGCTTCTATAAAAGCCGAAGTCCATTCTCAGACCTGAATGTATTATGTTGAAGCCTCGATAGTCCAGTAATTTGTGTCTGTTAGATAATCATCTGTGTCTAACTATATTTTGTCCCACAGTTCATCCGATTGGCTCAGACGCTGAAGTACTACGGCTATATTAAGTTTGATCCATGCATCACAGATTTTCCAGAGAAGGGCTGTCATGTTATAGTCGGTGCCGGCAACAATGAACTCAACTTTCACGTCAAATTGCCCAATGATCAGATGAAAGAGGGCAGCTTCAAAGTCACACGCATGAGATGCTGGCGGGTCACTTCATCTGTAAGTTTGATTAATAAAAAAAAAGTATTTTACAATATTGCAGACAATATAGCAATTTTGCAGGTAGAAAGGTCCATTGTTGATAGCATAGCGATGTATGAAGCACAGCTCATGCAGAATTCACTTTTAAACCAAGCAGACAGATTCTGTTGGTCAACGTCGCAAATTTGTTTGGCCAACACAAGCAAAATCTGTGTGGGGAACTCCTGATCAAGTGGATTCCTACTGAAATTACTCGATTTTGCCAAACAATGGTAAATGCAACCACACATTTAGCAAAATCATACCAAAAATTGTACTGTGTGCAACCAGCTTAAGGTTGAAAACACCTGGTACTACTTAGTATGTTGTTGTCATCGTTAGATATTTCAAGTTTCTTGCAGAGTCTGACTGCCTGCATTTGACCTGAAATCCACAAAAGCTTGTCATTTAGTAGTTCCTGAGTTCATTCCTAAAGTACTGAATAGTTGTCAAATTAGGTCACATTTTAGAAGAAAAAAAAACACACCACTTGTATTTTAGACAGTTGCTTAAATTAAACAGGAAAGTTTTTTTATTATTATTATTATAAAAAAAAATTCAGCATTTTAGAAATAACTTGACGACAACTTTATTTTAGCCGGTGATAGTCAAATCTCTATAAAAAGCTTTATTTTGTTAAATTGTTGTGAAATAAAGGCAAACATTCTAAAAAATATAACTTAATTAAAAAAGGCCTTATTTTTTATGTACTATTTTTGCTGTAAGAATGTAAAAAACTGAAATTCTATGCTATTTTGCTATTTTAAATGTCAAAAATAAAAACCTATTCTACAAGCGATTTTAGGCACCACAACATTATAATGTACATTATGAAAAATAGATTAATAAAGGCAAAAATGTGACTAAAAATACCTTCTTTTTATTTATTTCTGTACTACTTGCAGTAAGACTGTGGAAAAAAACTGAAATTCTATAATATTTTGTCTCTAAATAAATGAAAAATATTATGCTAAAAATAAAAATGAGTTGTTTTAAATGCATAATGTACAGTATGAAAAATGGATTCAGTGTTCAGTGAAATAAGGCTTTTAAAAGACTTGACAAAAAAGCCTTATTTTTCCAAATGATATGTACTACGTTTTACAATAAGGATGTAGGAAAACTTCCTTTTGTGTCTCCAGACAACCCTTTTCTCCAAATTCTTTCTATGACCGTCTCTTCAGGCATGTCTGGTTGGTCTATTTCAGAAAATGGGAAGTTGAAAATGGGATGAACAAAAAAGACACTTTCTGTAGGAAAATAGACTGTGCTCGCTTATAGCTACCAGACACTCATCCATCTATCCATTCATATTTATTTCATGAGAATCAACTAAATGTATACCTTCATGGTTTTCTGCATCCATTTTATTATACCAGAATTAGGAAACAAAATGAAGACAATCTAAATCTTAATTCTATATCTAACAGTATTAAGTGTTTTTACTCTGTCCCTTGCTTTTAAACAGTAGATTAACGAACAAATGTGTCAATATGTAAACGACTTCTTGTGGGAATGTGAAAAGGCTTTGAATATTTTCAGTTTGGTCCAATACAAACAGTTTAATGCACGTTCTGGAATTTCATTAGCTAGAGGAAGTTGTCTCTGCTCCACTCTGCAGTGGTCTTGGCTTGGTCTTTGCCTTGGAAAAGCAGAGTTGTGTTACTAATGAGCTCAGAACGGCAGTCCTTTGAGACCAGGACCTGACTGTGAGGATGCTGGGACTGTATAGCCATGTCTCTCTAATGTAACTGACAGAGTTTCCTGTGTGTGTGTGTGTGTAAAGAAGTTGTCTGTTTTGTGTCTTCTGAGACCATTCTAATGAGACACTTTTGTGTGTTGTGTGTTGTGTTGGTGATGCTATGTGATTATGAGGACGATGACATTTAGAGCAGAGCTAATGATGACTAATTGAGCTTTGAAGTTATTTGCTATGTAGAGGAGTTTAGAAATGGCCTCTGTAATTGCCAAGACACAAATAACAATGATTATGATGATCGTATTTGTGACGACCTGGCCTAATTCTACAGCAGGTGCCTGTGGCGAACGGTACCGCAAACCCTAGCAGTCCCAGTAAATGTGACGTGAAACTAGAGCTGGCCTTCGAGTACTTGATGAGCAAAGACCGTCTGCAGTGGGTCACCATCACAAGTCCACAGGTCAGCACAGAGTCAGTCGCAGATTTTGAAATTCTATACTATTTTGTCTAAATAAATGGAAAATAAAATGCTTAAAATAAAAATACATTTTCAAATGCGAAGCTATTTCAGGCATTCATTTTGAGATTTGCTGAAGATTTCAAATGTTATCAAATTATTCGTGTTTTTAAAGATTAACTTTAAGTGAGCTTAGATGACGGCAAAGTTAAAAATAGTGAATGAGCATTAACAATTAAATATCCGTCAATAAATAATAATAAAAAATAACTGTTTGAGAGTGACTGGACTAAGAGGTTTTTTGTTTTTCCCCAGGCTATCATGATGAGTATCTGTCTGCAGTCTATGGTTGATGAGCTGATGGTGAAGAAATCTGGCGGAAGCATTAAAAAGGTCAGTAGGTCTATGTTTGTCTTCTCGTAAAGATCTGCCAAATATCTGTGGAGTTTCTGAAATGTCTTTCAGTTGGTGGATGTATCTGTGTTTGCTTCATTTAAGCGTTTGAGTCTTAAAGGTGACATATCATGAAAATCTGACTTTTCCAGGTTTTAAGTGCTATAATCAGGTCCCCGGTGCATCTACCAACCAAGGAAACTTGAAAAAGATTAACCCAGTAACTTTGTTTTGGGAAGCCTTTTTCTGCAAATGTCTGAGAAAACAAGCGCGTCTGATTTCGCTCCCTTGGTGACGTGGCAAAGGGATCTCATTATATTACTACCACCCCTTAATCTTTAAGTTTCCACTCAAGGCGCCGTTATTGTGTTTTCGCAAGTGACAACTGTGTACCAGCTCTAATGCTATGGCGAACGTTTGAGCAAAACATGCTAACTGTTCTGTCTTTGGCTGCACAGACGAGCACAGAACACTATTTAGAGTCCCAGCCTCAGAGGAGACAAGAGAGCAGTGGAATTATTGATTTATTTAATGTATATTGCTGCTGTTACACAGATCTAAAATAAACATGCGATTTATTTCCCAGCTGTTTACCTTCACAGACATAACCGACTGTTTTTGTAACTTGTGTGTTTTTTAACGTAAACTTGTGTATATGAGAACGTAGTTTAGTACTCACATGCTGTGACAGCCGCTTTCTGTCCGTGTGCTTCGGATGTGTGCTCTCAGAAAACCGTATATATCAGAAGTTTAAACTAATATGGTTTAAAACGCAGGATTTCAGCACGATAAACATGATAATCAGAACCAAAACAGATGTTTTAGCAGGCAAGAGCTGTAATGACGCAGCTCTATTCTGGAAAAGGGGGCGGGGAGCAGCAGCTCATTTGCATTTAAAGAGACCGGCACGAAAAACAACCTGTTTCTGCTTCCACTCAAAAAAAGGCATTTTCAAAATAATATAATAAATGATCTGTGGAGTATTTTGAGCTGAAACTTTACAGACACATTCTGGGGACACCAGAGACTTATATTACATATTGTAAAAGGGGCATAATATGTCTCCTTTAATTCGTTTTTGCCCCATGGGTTTGGCATGATAAACCCTATCAGGATAATCTGTTGTTAAATGTCCGTTAAATCGTCTTTGTTTCCTAGAGAGAGACTTGAGCTCACTTTTAAGTCAACATGAAAGTGTATTCAAACCCCAATTTATATTTCCCTAAAGTCGCGATGTAACAGAATTAGTGACAACCGAGTGAAAAGGAATATTTGTATAAAGACAAATATTTTTCTCTGGAATAATTTGCATCGATGAATCATGCGCAATAAGTTTGCGAGTGTGTTTTATGAAAATAAATGTGGTCAATTTGTTTATGATTATAATGTGTTCCCAACAGATGCAGAAGAAGCGACTGAACGGCACGTTCCAGCGGTCTGACAGTCAGCAAACTGTGAAGTCTCCTCCATTACTAGTGGGCATAGAGGTTTTTGCTAATACAGAACACCTCTACTTTTGATATGGAAAGATGTACCATTGTTGATCTATGATATGCATGACTGTTTTTCAGGATTCCCCTGATCCCAGCCGTGAACAAGTAGTGAAACTCTCTGTGAGTTGTCGATGTTTTTCATTTCCTTATAATCAACTTACTATTGAAATATCCTGTTTTGTACCAGTGTTATTTTAATATGATTTACACACCATTATAGTATTTACTATTTTAAATTAGCTTTTATTCTCAAATTTTTAGTGTTGGTTCTAATTGTAGTTAAGTTTAACTTTATTTTTATTTCAGTTTCAGTCATTTTAGTACTTCAATTTAAACTTACTTAACATCCAAGGCACCATTTTTTAGTTGTTTTTTTTCTTCATCTAATATTTATATTTTATTTCAGCTTTATTTCAATTAGTTTTAGTTAACAGTAACAACTTTTTTATGCTGTTCTGTATTTTTTATTTCCACAGACCAAGCTGTCTTCTGTCTCCCTGAGAGGACTTAGTTCTTCCAACTCAGCCAGTGACATCAGTGGCAATGAATTCCATGGAAACTACGCCTTTGAAGGAATAGGGGACGATGACCTGTGATGGAGCCGTCTTCAAAAACTGGACTAAAGGAGGCAGATTTGTTTAGCGGTTTCTCTGCGTTGAGTGTAGTTTACTAGATGCCCAGCTCTGCAGTATCGTAATTCCTTTGTGTTGTCGTACATAATTTTGACTCAAGTCTCATTAGTTTTATGAGAGGCCTCAGAGTCAATACTCGCTCATTTAAAGTAACAAAAATAGGATAATTTCAGATTTGAGGCATAATTGGAGACAATTTCAATGGTTAACCTAATAGAGGGTTACATAGGCACCTCAGGGCAAGTTACTACATTCAAGAGAGATGTTAATTTAGTCTGTGATGAAAGTTTCTTCTGAAGACAAACTTTATTTGAATCGTACTTCCTTACTAGAGACACAAAACTGTGCTTTTCCTCTCATATGTCATCATCTGGCAGGCACCAAATTCCTGTTATCTCATTTTCTCTTGGCTGTTCATGACTGTAGTTGCCTACTAGAGTAAGATCCATACCAGCAAATTATGTTCCTTTTAAAATCAGTTGAGAATATTATTTAATAGATATGTGCTTTGTATTGTCCAGTGTGCCAGTGTTGCTCAACCTTTTGCATGGTAGCGACAATATGACCAATGGGCGTGGTAGATCTTTGCAGCTTGCGGTTTTCTTCAGGAGAGGTAAACTCGACCTGACACCTACTGCATATTCATTGCATATCCTAGATGAAAATACAAGTTCAGAATTTAAATTACCCTCTTTATTGTGGCCTGCTTTCTCTCTGCCTTATGCTGATTCAGACGCCTTACAGTTTAACTTCTCAAATTTAAATGTAGCGCCGGGCACAAGTTTGGTAAAAAGCTTCTCTCATTCTGGCCTCAGCTGTGTCCTGAAATCTCGCTTTGTTTTGGGGTGTTCGGCAGGCCCGCTTGCACTAGCTGAACTCATGTCTTTTTTGCACAGTATTAAGAAAGGTAGATGGCTTTGGTATTTATTGAGATATTAACCGTGGGAAAACATCCTGGAACATTCACAAGAGGTTTGTGTTTGTTGTCTGTGTTCTATTATTCAAACCAATATATTAAATAGGTTTCTCGTAAATGCCAAAATTATAGTTCACTAAAGCATTTTGCACAAAAATCATGGTAATGTCACTTTTATAAATGTACATGCAATTAAAAAAGTATTCTGAATATTTACTAATATCTGTATTATCTTAGTATATTACAAACAATTACAGTTGATCAAATATAATCCAGGCTGTGTAAAAAAAAAAATTATAATAAAAAAATATTAGAAACTAACATCAGTGTTTACAAAATTGTTGAAAACCAAGTGTTTACAAATTTCACATCTAAATTTCAGTGATTGTCTTAGTACATGTTATACATTGTTTTGAAGAATATCATTCCAATCTTTCATTTCTCTTTTTTTATATACATATAATCCATTTTGTGTTTTACTAAATACATTGTGGCAATCATCTCAGAGGACTGCGATCACATGGTGCTTGGGAAATGGCTGTATTTCACATTTATGCTGGGATTTAAACTGCAATGATAGCCATACTGAATGATATTCCCATATTCGTCATCCCGGATATATATATATATATATCTATATATATAATATATGATTCCTCCCATATGCAAATTATGTTTAATGCAAAGGTTCTCATGTTTTTGTGCTGTATGGCTGATTATTATTTTCCAGTTGATGACTGTAATTTGTGATTGCCATGTTAAGTATTTTCACCAGCATCATCTAGAATGAAAAGGGTAAACCGTCTGGACTCTTAAACCCTGTACATCTCTCATAAATCTGTATGATTTTTCAAATTCTCACTTCATTTTAAATCCAAGAATGGAAGTTAGAGCCTTCTGGGTTTCAATAAATTTAGGTGCCAAACAATGCTACTCCGTGTTGTTTTCTGTTTTTTGGTTTAATAACACAAGCATGATAGGTATTTCAGCATATATGGGGACTGTCTGTAGACACAATTAGCTTTTTGTAGCTTTTTGACTTCCTACAATTTGAATCATGCAAAAATCAGATTGTCAAATTTCTTTTTAATGTAAGCTTTTGTCTCAAAACTGACACTTCAGAAAATGTAAAACTCATTCTCACAATCTAACAGCATGATCACTGCAAGAGTTGTTAGTGCTCTGGTGAAGCCCGGGGCTCTGTCTTCATTAGCATGTTTACCGGAGCTGTTCGCAGCAGAGAGCGGGGAGGATTACAGCTCTCATGGAAGTGTGAGGATTACACACTGCCTGTCTCAGCATCTTAATCATATCCTGCTGGTCTATGAGTAACTTACTTCTGAGCAGTTTTGTGACTGAAAGATGGCAAAGGAATTGAGACAAGGAAGTTTCAACACAAACTCTTTTATTTTAGGATATTTAAGGCATTAATGAAACCACTGCATAATATCAAGAAAACACTCAAGCATCACGCACCTACAAGAGTTCATCAATGTTCAGACGTTTTTGCATATTAGGGTTTACGGTTACTGTTGTCCTTCAGTATAGCTAGTGATGCCATGGGTGGCAAATACATGCCAAACATTCCTCGGAGATAAAAAATAAAATCACATACAAAAATAAAAGCTCAAAGTTCAGCATGACACGAATACCCACTATGCACCATTTGTGCTTTAAGTAAACTCAGACAAATGGCATTTTTCACATTCAAGAAGATGCACACAATAAAAGGCAACACAACCCCCCAAAACTGTTGAGAGCAAAAACAAGATGATCAGAGATCACAACATAATGCTCATTCGTGAAGACATTTTTATCAGTAGGCTTGAGAAGATGTTTGACGGACAAATGATCAATCACATAAAACCTCAAAAAAGCCAACCAAGGTAAACTTAAGTGCATGCAATGTAGCTCCAGGCTTAAAGAAGTACTTCCTATGGCAGTGGTGCAGTAGTGGCTGTTTGGCACTGATAAATGAACCACAATCGGGCTCAGAATGCTCTTAGAGAGCTTTGGGAAACACAAACTGCCTTGTTCAAAGGCATTAATCAGGATTGTCCAAACCTGCTCCAGGAGGACCACCTTCCTGCAGAGTTTAGCGCCAACCATCTCCCACAAACCTGGCAGGAAGTTTCAAGTAATCCTAAAGTCCTTGATTAGACGTTTCAGGTGTGTTTATTTAGAGTCTGAAGGAAGGTCGGCCCTTCAGGAGCAAGACTGGACAAACCGTGCATTAGGACATTCAGGTTACTGTCTTTTAATTTGTGCATGACTTCATGTAGCAGCTTGAGGATAATTCCAAGAGTCTAAAATAATGACTTTCAAAATAACTCTTGGCACAAAGAAAAAGAAGAACAACCAACAAAACTTATGCTGTAACAGTAAAATCTCATATGGACGACTGTCTTGCAATAAGAGGCTACACCTCTTCCTCTTCCTCGTCCTCCAACTCTTCCTCATTTCCAGGCATCTGCACTTTAACCCAGCCACCTGCAGTCAGGCTGTGCTTCTTCTGATGTCGTTTGTAGTTGTCCCAGTGGCCAGTGGTGTAGCCACACTCTTGGCACTTATGGGGCTTCTCGCCCGTGTGGCGCAACATGTGCCGCTTCAGGTTCATACTCTGGTTGCAGCTGTAGTTGCAGATGGCACACTGAAAGGGTTTGGCACCTGAATGCACCCGCTGGTGCCTCTTGAGATTAGCCAGGTTGCCGCAGGCATAGTCACACAGGTGGCACTTGTAGGGTTTCTCGCCGGTGTGTACTCGATGGTGCCGCTTGAGGTTGTCGAAGTGGGCGGAGGCATAGTCGCACTGCGGGCACTTGTATGGCTTCTCTCCACTGTGGGTCTTCATGTGGCGGGCCAGGTGGTTCGGGTAGTGGGTGAGGAAGGGGCAGGCAGCACAGGTGTAGACTTTGTCCCCTCGCTCAGCGGGGAATCCGGGTGTGTCCTTAGTTAGCATTTCCAGGGTGCACTTTGCACATATCTGGGTCGAGGATCCATCCTCGTCATCCAGGGCCATGCCGCACAGCCGACAAGTAAAGGGGAAGAACATGGGGGGTAGAGTGGCAGGTTCAGAAGCAGCCTGTCCTGACTGCAACACCCTTGCCGATGACTGCTGTTGGAGCCTCAGGCCATCAAGAGTGTGCAAGTAGCTCCCATCCCTTCCGACGTGGGGTCGCGAGGCAGACTGCACAGCACCTGCAACTGAAGGATTCTGAATTACATCTCTTTGTAAAACTCTCTTTTCGACATTCTTTCAGGGCACAAAGCAGAACCTTACTTACCTTCAGAGGGGGCAGGAGCCGCTTTCTTTTCCTCCTGACTTGCAGTGGTGGGATTTAAACCATTGCCACTTACTGGCTGAGGGGCACTCTGACCCGGGCTTACAGCTGCATGCATGCGCTGGTGCCTCTTCAGGTTCCCTAAGGAACTGCATGCAAACGTGCAGTGGTTGCACTTATAGGGCTTTTCCCCAGTGTGTATGCGCAAGTGCCTTTGCAGGTTCACTAGTTGTGCCGATGCATAGGAGCACAGCGGACACCCGTACGGCTTTTCGCCATTGTGTGTCTTCATGTGTCTCTTAATGTGGTTGGTATAGCGCGACGAGAAACCACAGAGTGTGCATGAGTGGAGCTTCAGGGAACCATCCTCGCCAGCATCGCCCTCATTCCCTCCCCTTCTAGACTCCGCTTGTAAGCCTAAGCCCGAGCAGAGCTTCCTGTCTGCAACGCCATCCACATTCCCTTTGCAGCAGCGCATGCAGAAGAGCCCCACCAAGTCCATGCCTGGTCCCAGGGGGTCTTCCAGGAGCTGACCACAGCCCCTGCAAGAGAGGTAAGAGGGAAAGGCAGACTCAGAAACCCTCTCTTCACGCTCGCTTTCGGTCGCACGCAGATCGTCAGCGTCACTCTCCATACTGAGGCGGCTGAAGGGGGAGCTCTCCTCGTCTCCCAGGGGGAAGCCAGGCAAACTGATGTCAGCTGTACAGGACCACAGCAAGACACTGCATTACATTATGCAGCTGAATAAATATATTTTCTGCAATCTGAGATAGTGTGCAAGCATTCAACAGAAATTTCAACAATTTAGGGCTGATAAAAGGACACTATTTCAGTGTCTGTAATATGTAAAGTTGATGGTAACATTAAAATGTCTTAACTGTCACCCGTCCCCTCTGTGGGACGCCTAAATTTACTTCACCATATTACAATTAAATCCTAATCTAATCATGACAACCTTTATATCGTTGGAAAGGTCTAAGACTCCTAAATATATATTTTACCACAGTTTTTTGTTATTATGTAGGAAAAGTAATAGATTAATTTGACAAGTGTGCACCTCAAATATCTACATCAAAACAGGAGTTCTGACCTATGTCACAAAAAGTCTTCTTCGTTGCCTTTTTCTCGATCACACTTTAGAAATCATCAGAAATTATATATCAATTGAAAACTTTAAATCTCAAAATTCATCCTTTGAAACCCATTTTAAAATCAGACATTGCATTACCATGAAATCATTTTGTACCAAAATCATGGTGCGAAATGTTTTCATTCATGAATTATAAAAATGTAAGTTTGGATAGTGCACTTTCAGGTCTATGTTCAAAACTGTGAGTGACAGTTAAGGGGTTAATATCTTACTATTACAAGTTACTAAAGACAAAAGCACACAAAAAAGGTAAACCTCTTATGCAAGATTGCATGCATCTATAATAAAAACAAAAAAACAATGAGAGTTCAAATTTTGCACAAAATCTCAACAGCTGAAGTTATAGGAAAAACATTTGGCATTTATACTTACCCACTAAGCCAGTGGACAAACGTCAAGTAAATTGTGATAGCAACAAATAAAAGGTGGTACTCCAACAAAACACAATTCTACAGTGTTTCTGCTCACTGTCTTTCCATGAAACGTCGTTTTCCTTCGGCAAGCTCCTGATGCACATGCAATGTGTGAGTCTGAAGTCTGAACGGGCCTTTATATTGCCCATTTCAGAAACCCCAGGTAGATGATTACCCAGCCTAATGATAATGATGATGACTATAATGGTCCTGCTGATGATGATGATGATGATGAGGAGGGGGAGATGATGATGATGACGACAACTATGACAAAGACCCTGAGAGGAGATGATGATGATGATGATGATGACTAAATGCCTTATTATAATGTGTCTTGATGACCTTTATATAATAGTAGTGGCACACTGTATTTTTTCCTGATTTGCCATTTTGAAATGGTATGTTCTGTCAGAATGCCAAAACCAGAGAAATTTTCCAGAACGGTAGGCTCACTTCTCCCATCTGTACATGAAAGATCACACTGCTTGCTGACAGACAAAATGCAGCACGTTTGCATAATAGCACTAATATTACAAGTCAGTCTTCGAAGTTAATGTCCCATATTGAGCACATATGGCCGCTCACGAATGCCAGCAATACAGCAAACTAAAGCATACGTTTAAAATCCTCAAGATTTAGCAGTAGCCATCATATAAAAGTTACTGTCAAGTAAGTAAATTCCTCAGTATTTCTGGATTTTCCATGACGGTCTAAACCAGGGGTGTCAAACTCAGTTCCTGGAGGGCCGGAGCCCTGCAGAGTTTTGTTCCAACACACATACCATGTAGTTTTCAAATAAGCCTGAAGGACTTGATTAGTTGTATCAGGTGTGTTTAATTAGGGTTGAATCTAAACTCTGCAGGGCTCTGGCCCTCCAGGAATTGAGTTTGACACCCCTGGTCTAAACCCTTTAATATTCCCTACCAAAGTTAGGCTTAGAAACTCACCCGAGAACTTTTCAAGGCCTATGATCTTGCTGTCATTGTCAGGATCTGAAAACTCGAGTTCTTGTCCCAGGAGAAAGTCGCTCTCAAAGGTAAGGCTTGCTGGACGCACAGTGCCTAAACCATCTTCAGAATCCACTGAAAGCAAAGGGTCATAGTGAAATACAGCAGCAATGGCATTCAAAATCAACTATATAGATATAGATGATATATATATATAAAAGGATGTAAAAATGTGTACTAAACCCATGTGAAACCCCTACAGCAGCTGTAAGATTTTAAAGTCACACGGAATCTTACATTTATTATACAAACAATAAGACTTACAGTAAATTGCACACCATCTTGTGGAATTATGTTCATTTGTAAAAATAAAAAATTGGGCTAATCACTAATTAAAATAAATATAACTCAAAACAATCATAGAATTGTGCCATGTGGAATATTTGAATAATTATCATTCTGATCTATTTTGTCATTTCCACCAAATCACAATTTATGTATCATGAAGGGATATTTTTTAAACACTTTCTGAATAAAACAACTGATTCCAGTTAAATAATATTTTGACAAGACTTTACATATGACAAAATTACAGCTTGACTGGAAATTCAATAATTTATGTTGACATAAAAAAAATTCTTCACACGTCACATGTCCCATATTTCATCTGAACTATTTTATAATTTATCTTTCATCTTTACGAGTGGCAAAATTGCTAGTCACGGTAGAAATGACACCACAACTGTGAGTTTTAATTATCATAACTTAAAAATATAATATTTTTATGATGGATTTTCATATTTTAAGATTTACAAGGGTAAAAAAAAAAACCCAGCTTTATACATATCTGAAAAGAAACTGTAAAAATAAACAAAGAAGGCAATGTACATTTTTTTCCAAGACAGTTTTAATGTGATTTTCATATAACAAAAAAGGAAAAATAAGTTAAAGAAACAGCCAATCTAGCAGCATCGACTTGGCCAGTAACAGGCTCTGGCTTTACTGTAATTTTACTGCCATCTGCTGGACGAGACTGAACATAATCACAACTTTTTAAAAAGAAAGCAGACACAATGACACAACCAATACTTTTGAAGCAGGCTATGTTTACAGCACGTAAAATATTATTCATTCAGTTACCATGACAGTTATTTACCACATTCAACTGAAAATCTTAAAATTGGTGAATATTAAAATGAATTACCAGCCAAATTCAGCTTTGCTTCGTAATCTGACACAAACACAGAAATAACTCCTACTTTTGTTAGTCACATTACAACTTTTTAAATAAAAGACACTGGATACACAGCATATAAAATCATCAGAAGAATCTACCGGTCAGCTTGTTTGACACCTGAAATCACAATTCAAAATCAAGTCAACAGACTGCAGTGCAATTATTATGTTTCTGTCCATACAAATTGATTACTCTATACCAGGGATCCTCAAATCTGGCCCACGAGATCCACTTTCCTGCAGAGTTTAGCTCTGACCCTAATCAACGTCTTCAGGATCATTAGAAAATCACAGGTAGCTGAGTTTGATCAGGGTTGGAGCTAAACTCTGCAGCGCATTGGACCTCCAGGGCAAGATTTGAGGAACCCTGCTCTATACTCTAATAGCTAATAGCTGGGACACACCGACTGGTTGCTTATAACCAACCAGTCGGTGTGTCCCTGCTATTTCTGTAACAGAAGAGTCTGTTAAATGACAGCTAATATTCAGATGATTTTGGACAGACATGGCCAAGTGTGAGTGGTTCAAATCCAAGAGCACATGACAGTTTTAATATAAAACAAGACCACATGACCAGTTTCCATGATTTTTCTCTGAATTAGTAAACATCAACAAAAACTAAACGCATGTGAGAGGAATGAAGACAATTCAAATCATTTAAATGAAAAGGCAGCTTACACTTGACTGGTTGTGGATTCTGTTGTTTTCTTCTTGGCATCTTCCAGTTAGCCTTTTTATTTGCAACCTCCTCTGGATTCCCTCGAAAACAATCAACTCATTCTCCAAAGTCTCCTTTAAAAGCACTGAAATAAGACACGTTACTGACATACACGTTAGCACAACCCATTAAACAGATGCACGGCGCATCTGGGAGCTAACGTGCTAATCTTACAGTGGCACATAAGAGAAATAAGACTTGCGTCATTTACAGTAAACTAAATAAAAGATCTATTAATCTCGTAGTGCGACAGAACGCATGTCTGTGTTGATGTAACGTTAGTACACGTACTGAACTGCACGGCCGCCCAGCCTGTGTTTATTCAGTCGATATGTAGCACTCAACTCTAGCTATATTGTCAAGCTCAGATGTCCCAAATATACCTGCTCTTTCTGCCTGTCGCGTCAAATAACGGTTCCCGTCGAGGCGCTACTGCTCAGTCCGCAACACATCGACCACAAAGAAAGGCAATTAATGCTCTTTTTTCAGAACTTAATTGATTTCCAAATTGCCATTGTATACATTTTCTTCCGCTGCGTTGCGTATATCCGTTTCCTCGCTTACGCATTTCCGGGGACGGTGCTGCTCTATTTTTACATTTCTCTTTTTATGGAATGTTGTCCGATATTAAAGCTAAAATAAAGGAACATCTACAGTTAGATTTATGGGGATTTCAATTCATTTTGTACCGCATTTGATTTATTTTTGTGGGCGCAATAACTATGAATAATTCTTACTTATACTATGACAACATTATAGGCTATTATATTATATTACATTATATTCTATTTTATATTATATTATATTATACAACAACAATCAATATTGCAATATTGTCTTTCTATACTATTCGGGCCGTTGCAAATGTCTATTATACAGTCCGTAATACAAAGCCGTCGTCCAAATTATTATTAATGTTATTAATGTTAATTATACTTAAGCCCCGTTCACACCAAGAACGATAACTATAAAGATAACGATATTAGCGTCCACACCAGCGAACGATATCGTCTGTTTATTCTAAGCGCACGCGCGTCTGCCGCTTTAAACTCTCGAGCTCGTTACAGCAGGATGGATTCTGATTGGCTCTCAGTGTTTTATCGTTCATCAGCTGCAAAAACAAAATCGTTTTGAAAGTGATCACAACGATATCGTTCCTCTGTATCGTTATCGCTATAGTTGTGGTGTGGACTCTGCTATTCTTTAATATTGAGAACGATTTTTAGAACTATATCTTTATAGTTATCGTGCTTGGTGTGAACGGCCTTAAGGCTATAGTGTAATAATATAGTACCATTATATGAACATTTGCTATTATCGGTGCTCGAGTCTCAGAATGACAATTTTATTTATTTGCACATTTATATTTTGCTAAATTACTACACAGACATAACAAATATACTGTATATATATATATATATATATATATATATATATATATAATGTAATGTGACAAACAAGTTAGGTCAAAAGTAATCTAAGTAATCAAAAAGTAGTCTGTTTACCTTAAATGTGTAATGTAATGGATTACGTTACTAACTACAATGTTTGTCATGTAATTTGGAATCAGTAGCATAGGCCTATATAATTAGGCAATACTTAGGTTATATGTATAGCCTATATAAATATTCGAGTAAACCAGTAAAGAGAAAGAAAAAAAAACGAAAAAGAAAAATTAATTTAAATAATATAGGTATGTAAATGAATAATAAAAATTAAATTAAATTCTTAAACGAAGTAAAAGGTTAAGCCTTTAGCTGTTGTTTTCAGAGGCAGAACTCGTTGTCAGGCCACGGATTCAGATCACTGCAGTCTCCCGAAGGCCATTACAAGCTCTCGCGCAGCAGGCGCCGCCGGTGTGCAGAGGAGGGAACCTCCAGGTTCAAGGGGATCTCCTCGCCAACGCGTCATGCGGCGAATCTCGGACCACAGAGTCCAGAAAAACGCTGAAAGACACGCAAATAGGCGACGTTTTACAGCAGTGGGAGGAGCCGCGAGAGCTCGCGCGGCCTCAGCCGCTCAGTGGGAGGAGCCAAGCGATGGTGCTGAGCTGATAACGCACTGAGCGGAGGTAAGAGGCTGCTTTCCTGAAATTATTGTGCGCTATCTTTTAGTCAGAGGATGTTTTTCTCTTCTTGCGTTTGGGTATTATAAGCTGTATTTAGGCATAAAAGTATATTATTTGGCAGGGAGGAACGGCTACGTAATAACCTTGCCACTCCCTGCAGTGCTGTGATGCCCTGCTCAGACCTTCTGATTAATTATTACAAATTATGTTCGTAGACAAAGAATTTGAGTGTATCTATTTTAGTGTACATATTTCAGCACAAGCGAGATTTCGTCTGAAGTGTGTGTGATTCTGTAGGTAAATACATGGAATATAAATTCATTAAAGTAACAGTTGGTGTAAATGTCGGATCACTGATGCGCTCGTGGCCCAAATGTGGAGGTGTGTCCTCATATAACGCCCTTTAAACGGCATTGCCACGAATCCACGATGCTTTCCTGATGACAAGTTGTTAGTCAGGGTATAAATGGGATCCGCTTCTTCTTAAAAAGAGCCTGATATATTGAAAACACAGCCATGATCGCATTGCATAGGCCTTTGATATTTTTGGTTTGCCAAATTGTTACCCAACTTTGCTTAATGTGGTCAAACAAGAAAACTGTTGAGTGCATGACCGTGAATAGTCCTGGGAACGGAGAGAAAGAAAACACACCGAAGCCAATCCAAAGATCTCAGCCACAGGATTTTGCTCTATGGCCAGAGAAGCTATAAAACACATTTGAGCTTTGTCTTATCATTGAGGCCCTCTGCAATATACATGATAAAATGTATTTCTTTTCCATGCATGCAAGAGACTCTTAACAAGTCGTGCATCCTCTAATAGTTTTAATGTATCATGTAATGCGTTAAAAGCAAACTTTGTACTCCATAATAATTGTATACCACTTTCTTTATGGTTAAAGCTTGGCCCAGTGCATTTTAAAGTCCAGCTTGTCGTGTGTTGAATGACCTTGATATTATATGTCTCTCCTCTTTATTGGTTTCTGTTCTGTTGAGTAATGGGGCAGTCAAAGGCAAGACACAAACCCTGCTTTAATTACGTAATGCTGCCAGAGGGGGCTGATGCTGCTTATCTGAGATCAAAATATTGATCTTTAGAAGATCTTGATTTTTCTTTTTTTGGGGGGCCCAGGGATTTAATATGTATTTCTCTAGAAACAAATTTCTCCCGAGATTGTTTTTAACAAGGTTAAGTGTAAGAAATGCAGTTGTTTCCACAAAGAATAAGTCACTGATTTTCTCTAATGACAATTTTATTTCTAATGACCATAACACCTAAAGTACTAAGCTTAATAGGCAATACCATTTAATGTAAAATTTATTCAGATGTAATGTGAGACTTGTCAGAATGTTTTCCTCTTTGTGAAGCCTAAACGTGATTGATCCTCATGATTATACGCTTTCTCTTGTTCATTTTATTTTTGCAGCATTAGCAGTTTTGTATTCTTCAAGTATTCTTATATAGCAAAAGAACTGAACAACTTGTTAAATGCAGTGTTATTTTATTATATATATATATTTCATATTTTGAAAGTTTTTTTTTTTTTATATATTTTCGGTTTACAGTAGTTTAAATGGTAGTCATTTTGTTTTGTGCTTTTGTCATTTTTATTAGTTCTTAGTATTTAGCTTTAGCTTATTTTTTAGTATTTAGCATTTAGCTTTATTTTTTTATTTCAGTGTAAGTTTTAGTCATTTTAATATTTTATTAATTCTAATATTTAGAACGTTTTTCATCGGATATTTATATTATTTCAGCTTTATTTCATCATAGTTTTAGTGTTAGTTACCAATAACAGCACTGGTCAAATGAGATCAGATTTTGAAGTTAGATATGTCTGTTCAATGTTTAAATGCTTGAACATGATGTTCCTCTGTAATGATGTTAGCTGATGCTGTGTCTCACTGTCCATCTTCATATCTGGTTCCCCACATGAGTGTTTCTTTTGGAAGAGAGTAGCATTAACAGTTGAAAATAAAACCTTCACCCCCCACACTGGAGCCTCTGAATCCCTCCATAGGGAAAAAAGTCAGTCTGGACTATATATTGTCTGTCTGGCATCTCCTTTTCCATTACATGTTGACTGTTGAAATGAGTGTAATAGTGTGTGGTCCAGTTGGGAGATTAATTTCACATGATCATGTATCAAGATAAAACGGAGCTTAGACTTCTTCATTCCATGAGCTACGTTACTCCATAGCACACAATAACTCCCTCTCAGTCATACACTATGCAGGTGTCTTTTCGAGTGGGTGGAATACATTAATTTACAAGCCAGGAGATAATCGGGGTCTTTGGAAACATCTGTTTGTAGCTTATTAATTAGTCACACCTGGCTTGGAAATGAGAGACAAGATGGAAATAGTTTATAAGGCTGATGGTTTTGTAAATTGTGTGCAGGTTCAATGACATGATGCTCAATATTTTTTTTGTCCAGATCTATTAATTAATTCATAAAAATGCAATACAGCCACTTCTTCTGTGATAAACGTATTTAGGATGTAGACTAGTTCAGGTTGTAAAATGTCAAATGGTGCGATTCCTCAAAAATGTATAATACTTCTGAATTAATAATTGATGATATTGGTAAAAAAAAAACTTTTTTATCTTGAGAAATATATTTTAAAACTGTAATAACATGGCTTTTTGTGTGTTCACAATATAGGATTTTTTTTTTAAGAAATTTATTTTTATTTAGCAAGGAACATTAAAATTGATAAAAAAGTGACAGAACATTACACAAAATTTCTATTTGTAATTTTTGAACTCTCTATACATCAAAGAATGCTGACAAAAATGCATCACAGTTTCCACAAAAATATTAAGCAGCACAACTGCTTTCAACATTGATGATAATAAATGTTTCTTGAGCAGCAAATCAGCATATTAGAATGATTTCTGAAGGATCATGTGACACTGAAGAGTGGAGTAATGATGCTGAAAATTTAGGGATACATTAAAAAGATATATTAATACACAAAAGAGTTTTTTGTAAATTGTATTAACATTTCACTGTATAACTGTTTAAATGCAAATAAATGCAGCCTTGGTGAGCATAAGAAACTTATTTCAAAAACATTTAAAAATCTTACTGACCGCAAAGTTTTAAATGGATGTGCACTGAGAAATGTTTTCTGCAACAGTCTTAACTTTTGCATCTCCTAAATCGGTTCATGTTGTTCTTTTCAGGGATGAGCATTTGATGAACAGAAAACATTTCATGTGAGAAGAAAACAATGATGACCTTGATCAGGGAACTATTTTCGTACTTCCTCACAATGCTCTCTTTGCCAATGTTCAGTGTCAGACCATAAACAACAAACAAAGACACACAAACAAAAGGGGCTCGATCCTCTCATGCTGTTTTAGCTGGGCTGTCCAGCTCTGTACAATGAAGAGACCCAAGCAGCAGTCACAGTCCCTCAGTTTTCTCAGCTTCTTCAGCCGAAAGCCCAAATCTGACCCCAGGATTGAGAAGCCCAACGGGACTTTAAACAAGGAGGAAGTGGCCATCACTCTCACGCCCAATGAGCATGAGCATGTGGAACAAGTAAGACGACATCTACACTTATTCTATAACCAGAACATATGTTTCAGTGTAATCTCTGTATTCTGTAAGCAGTTGCTGTAATGCTTCATTTCACCTGGTAGACACGTTATCATCTTCCTTTCAGAAGCATCATGCCCATTTCATCATGTCCCCTCAGATTGTTGAGCCAAGTGGATTTCGAATGCAACTTCCAAAATAAATAAAATAAAATAATTAAGTATATTGCATAAAAATCTCATGTCTAAAATTTGGTCCGTCCAATCAAGTCGCACATTCATTCACTTTAAACTGTCATCACCTGTTAAACTCATGTGACTTTTTCTTCATGGAACACAAAAGGAAATGTTTATCATAATACGCAAGCTGCTCATTTCCATACAATGAAAATAAATATACCCACATTGGAATTTTCGGCCGCCATATGGACCACTTCCTTTGGGGCACCACGATGTTCAAAATTACTGGGAAAAATGTTATCCATGACGTTCATTTCCCTTTTATTGTAAATAAGGCAGCTGTGTTTGCCAGAACTTCACCGTAAAAAAAAATATGGTAGCATCATTTTAGGTTTTACAGATTTAAATATGTTTTGTTAACTGATGTTAATATACCAACCTATTGAAGTACTAATATCTGTGTTGTACCTTTGTACTGAGAACCACCAAGCATACAGAGTTATAATATATAGGTGTATACAGAAAGTGCACAGTGTCATACACACAAATATAAAACACTATCATGGTAACACACATGACACTAAAATAATGCAATGAACATGAATTTAATAACATAAGATGAAACGTAAAACCCTAATGTACATAACTGATAAGAACAAAGAAAAAAACAGTTGTCAATGAAAAACCATCAAATGTTAGTGTTGTCCCACAGGGAAATCTGACCATTTTTATTTTTTTTTACTGTAAATTATAAGAATTTTTAATATATATATATATATATATATATATATATATATAGTAAGGGAATTTACCGTTAACCAATCAACAGGTTTTTACCGGAGCAGTCTTTTACCATTAAAATGACAATAATTTTTACAGTGTAGCTTATCTTCATTAGACTGATAAAAAGTCATAACTTTCATTACTGCCCTCAGTCATTTTGTCTTTCCTCTCAGGACCGGGCTCACAGTGGTGTTGGATTAGAGGGCGGTAGGAATGGAGGAGATCCTGGGAAAGGGGAAGGAGGTGGAGTGGGAGATGACGAGGGATGTGCGGAGTGTGGGAGCAGTGGCTCAATGGGTGTACTGTCCTTGTCCTCCTCCAGTCAGGAGCAGCTGCTGGAGCACCTGGTCGAGTGCCCGCTCTGCCTTCTGAGTCAACCACGAGGCCACTTCCCTCGCTTGTCCTCCTGCCAGCATCGTGCATGCACCGACTGCTTGCGCCAATACCTACGCATCGAGATCTCAGAGAGCCGCGTGGGTATCGCCTGCCCACAGTGCCCTGAAGTTCTGGCTCTGCCCGATGTCCGTGCCATTCTGGATGACGGTGCACTGCTGGAGCGCTTCGAAGAGTTCCAGCTGCGACGCTTTCTGGCTGCTGACCCGGACACGCGCTGGTGCCCGGCACCAGATTGCAGGTTAGCACATAAATGTGACTGATGAAGCACAGCCACCACTGTACCATTGGTGCCGTTATAGAGGGATATTTTTACACTCAACATATTATGTTACTGTGCAAATACGTCTTAATTTCATACAATTGAGCATGTCACAATAATTTCTGGCATTTCCATACAAAGTTTTAGATTTTTTTTTTTGCTCCATTTTTTAAATCTGTAATTTAAAGTACACATGAAATCAAATTTGACTATATTTATTTTGTTAGCGCACACTGGTATATTTGTGGTGAACAATTCATCTGTGCAAGTCAATCCATTAAAAAAATTGTTTGCCTTTGTAATCTTTCATCCAAATCTAAAAATGCACCTCCCCTCTGAAATGACGGACCTTCTCTGATGATGGCAGTTTGACGTTTGGGCTTGAGCATAACATCCTTAAACGCCCTTCCAGTGTTGTTCCGAATGAAACGCCTACTTTACTACATCCAATCAGTTTGTAGTAGAAAAACAAGCCACGCCCTCTTTCCTTTTTCTCGTTCAATATTCCATTTCTCTCGGAAGTACATCACAATACGGAAGTAAAGTCGATCGCAACTTCTAGTTCATGTGGACTTTAAATTTAAAGTGGTAAAAAAAAGTGCAAAGAATTTATCGTGGCAGTTTTTAACTTTAATTTGAAATATAAATTAGAATTTTAACTGTATTATAGAATTAATATTCTATAATATGCTGGCAGATAATTATTTGTACATTATGGGCAATATTGAAATTCTGTACTATTTAATTTAAATAATAAAAAATGAATATAAAAATAATATTTTAATAATTAAAAACCCTAAAATTTAATAGCAGTTGTTTTAAATGCTACAAGTGAATTTAAGCATCATAAGAGTTTAATGTATGGTATGAAAATGGAGATTTGCCAAAGATTACATTTAACAATGTCATTATTATTATTATTATTTATTTATTTTTTTTTGTAAGTTTTAAAGTTTAACTTGAAGTGAGTGTCAGACACAACGACAAAGAAAAAATAGGGATGAGTAATTAAATATCTAATAATGGCTGATGTATAAAAATCTGATTGTCAATAACTCATATGGAACCGATAATGTATATTGTTGCTAGGCACATTTGGTTAGATTGCTTTATAAAGCAAACTTGCTGACATAGAGACACCACATAATAAAGTTTTATTTTGAATAAAATGAGTTCTTCTGGGGAAAAAAAGAATGTCTCAAAAATGTTTTAATGTGGTCATGCTCATGGTCTGGATGGTTGCTGGTAGTTTCTCAGACTATGGGTTCTCCACCAGCTTAGCCAAGGTGGTGGAGATCAGCTCTAATCAGCTTGACACTAGGTCATCCCCAGTCATACCAGCTGGGGGTCCCATCTAAACGGCTGATTACCCATCTAAACTACCTTCAACCCGTTTCTACCAGCTGTAGCTGGTTTTAGCTAGAAACATTGTGTCATGTACGCTGCAGCGTGAAGCACGTGCTCCTCTGGTGCATTATGTATAGTTCTGGAGGCTTGCTTTAGGTTTCGTAATGGTAACCAGATCAGGGTAGTGATGAGAACCCATGGCTGTTTGCCATTTCTTGTCAACAAGATGGTATTCGGTATCACCTGCAGTCTCTCCACATGGACCCGAGAGCATCCTCTCTCTTTACTACTGTGACTACCAAAACAATAACGATGATCGTGGTAGCCACCACCACCATATGTGCTAGACGGTGGCATATGTTCACATATAAAATTATGTGTTTAATTAACATATTGGTTTAATAGGGTTGTACAAATGTGTCGTGTCACAATACAAAAATGCAACAATTGTGACAATATGTATTTTGTACAGTTCACCCAAAAATGAAAGTTTAGAGAGATCTAGTTTAGGCTTTTATTCTCACATAAACAATCAACGCACATGCATAGAGCACGTCAAATATGGTAAACCCGGAAGCTCACACATCTTGAGATTTTCAATTTTAAAACATATGTATTCAGGGACAGAGTGTAAGCATTTGTATTTTTAGCTAAGCAGATTCATGAATATTAGTAGTACTGCATATCGAATCTTGACACAAGGTCTTTTAACTATCACATTTTTAATATTTTATATGTAATGACAAAAGCATTCTTGTCATTCATTAGCTATGCAGTGATAGCTTATGGCTGTGCTGAGTGCCCCAAGCTAAACTGTGGCCGGGAAGGCTGTGAAACTGAGTTTTGCTACCACTGCCGCCAGCTGTGGCACCCAGACCAGACTTGTGACCAAGCCAGACGTCAGCGTGCTCGCCACACGTCAGGAGCCAATGATGTCTCCACGCTCTACGTGTTCAATGAGGAGCCTGGTGGTATGGCACAAATATTGAGGGACTAACCTAATATCTGTTTGGTGTCCACCGGCTAAGATGTTTGTTCTGCTTTTAATCTTGAAGATGCAGAGGAGATCAAGCCCTGTCCACGTTGTGGTGCCTACATCATGAAGACTAATGATGGCAGCTGCAACAGAATGAACTGTACAGTGTGTGCTTGTCAGTTCTGTTGGCTGTGCATGCAGGAGATCACTGATGTGCACTACCTCAGGTACACACACACAATACACACAGTCATCAAGTTACAGTAGGAGTAGTCGCACGTAGCCAGATCTTTGACTAATGGCTAGGGTCTGGTCTGCATTGTAGCTTATTTTGTGTAAAAAGTGCCCACTTAGACAGGACGAGATGGTCTTATTGACATGTAAAGTGACCAACCACAGTTCAGTTTGGTTTTTACACAGTTTAAGGGTGGGTTCATATGAAATGCTCTACAGTTCAAAAGTTTGGGGTCAGTAAGATTTTTTTGAAAAATAGAAAAAAGAAGTTAATTAACAAGGATGCTTTAAATGAATCAAAAAGAGACTGTAAATGCATTTATAATGTTAAAAAAGTTTTCTATTTCAAATAAATGCTGTTCTTTCGCACTTTCTATTCATCAAAGAATCCTGAAAATAAAAGTATCATGGTTTCCATAAAACTATAAAGCAGCACAATTGGTTTCAAAATTGATAATCAAAAATGTTTCTTGAGCACCAAATCAGCATATTAGAATGATTTCTGAAGGATCATGTGACATTAAAGTAATGGTTCAATATTGGTGCAGAAGACACCGAAAATAAGTGCAGATTATTTCATAGACATAAATCTGAAAATAAGGGACAATGCAGTTTTGATAGTGAATATCTAGTTTACTTGCTGACTCAAACTGTTTCAGAGATTTGATCCCTCTAACACTGAAAATGCTCATTGTGTCAAGCTTGTACCTTCTCAATACTTTATGTCCAGGCAGACTGAACAAAAATGCTACCTTTGGAAGTCGTACTAACCAGAATGGTAGAATGAGTGATTTTCTGAAAGTGCCTGCAGTTTTGTATGCAAAATTTGGTCTGTGGTTGTGCGTAAATGAAACTCTTATTGTTGTTAAATCTGCCTGCATTTATTAAGTTACTGTAGGCAATTGTAAAATCAGTAATTAACATTTACAGAATATTTATCCAGTGTGCAGAGCATACACAGCCAAGTATAGGACATTTGCCTGTAAGCACACAGCCCACATTCATCACCAGCAGTCACCAGAGTCTGTGATCTGTTATTAAGCTTCTCTCGGACACATTCAGTCCAAGCTAAACAGGGGTAATTCTGCAGCACAAGAATGTCAGATATGTTTTTCTGGCCCTACGATATACTGAGGTTGTGCTGAGTTGCTTGTGTGGCCGACTTCATGAACATTGCAGATTATCCGATTTGCTTAATTACTCTTAATCAACACAAGTCTTGCAGAATCTGAGCCGTTTCAGAGGTCTGATCTTAAAAAAGTGTCTTTGCTACCAGTTTCAATGAGCTATCGCTGCACCAAAGCTGATTTCTGATAGATTTTTCCGTTCTTGGATGCCAGCCAGCACCAACTTTCATCAATTAATCAGTACAAATCTCTGTTCATATTTCCCTTTCCATGCAACCCAACCCCCACGATTTGCCAGAAGCAGGGTTCTTAATTTAATGAACACCCCATTCTGCTGGGCTCCAGTTGGGCGGAGAAAGATTTTTATGAAATGACAGAATACATAAATAGTTCTGTCATCCTTTACTTACCCTCATGTCGTTCCAAACCTGTGTGACTTTATTTCTTCTCTGGAAGACAAAAGAAGATTAGAAGAGATCAAGTTTTCAAAATATTTTCTTTATGTTACACAGGAGAAATGAAGTCACACAGGTTTGGAATGACAGAATTTTTATTTTTGGGTGAACTATCCCTTTAAGACAGTGTTTCTCAACCCTGGTCCTGAGCGCCCCCCAACACTGCACATTTTGTATGTCTCCCTTATCTGACACCCATTTCAGGTCCTGGAGTTTCTTTTAATGAGCTAATGAGTTGAATCAGGTGTGTTTGATTAGGGAGACACACAAAATGTGCAGTGCTGGGGGGCACCCAGGACCAGGGTTTAGAAACACTGCTTTAAGACAAGACACAGTGAAAAACTTACAGAGAAATTACAGAGAAATAGCACTTTAATATGATTAACATATGGATGTAAATGCATGTCTAATTCTGTCATGTGACACCACATTTATTTGCCTTAAAGTCCTTTTTTCGACAAAAGGTGTTGCATTTGAAGCATTGACATAGTGTATTTACTAAAGTTAAATAAAAAAAATATTGTGTAGCCACTTGCAAAATGTTAGCGATAATTAGCATTTCTGTCAGCTAAATCTGTAACAGATTCATGCGCTAAAACTTTTTCGCAAAAAAAAAAAACAAACCTTGGATGGGAATTTGTCTATTGTTATAGGTTGATAATCAGCAATTATCAGTGAAGTGTTGTGTTCAAATATTTACTCCAGATTGTCTTTTAAGCTAGTAGCCTGTAATATTTTAGCACACAGAACAGGAAGTGACATTGACCGTAGAGAGTTGTAATTCACCCAGGCGGTGCATGAGGCTACTCGAGGATGAGATCATAAAATATTGATTCAATGAGACCGTGTGCGTGTGTCTGGCTTTTATTGGCTAATATTCTTGTCTTCTCTTTAACCGCATGTCATGCACATGCCACAGCTATGTGAGATTATGAAAAAAATACTTTAATTTATCTTCCTCACAGTCCCTCAGGCTGCACTTTTTGGGGAAAGAAGCCGTGGTCGCAGACCCGCAAAGTTTTGTGGCAGGTTGGCATGCTGCTCGGGGCTCCGGTGGTGATCTCACTCATAGCAGGCATTGCGTTACCAGTCATCATTGTGGGCATCCCCATTTATATGGGCCGCAAGGTAAAGACCTAAAGTTTGCTGCATTGTGCCATTTCTGTGGTGAAATGGATCTGGAGACAGTTTAATAGCTCTGGTATGATAATGAGACAAGGTCATGCCCTTGGCTGTATGCTCCTCATAAGAAAAGTGCTGCCGAATGCATATATGTAAATTTATGTAAATCCACCAGACTTCACACAGCCGGTAAATGTGATATAGAAGACGTTTGCAAAGAAAGTAGAGAGAGTTTCACTGTGCTATTAGTTTATGGATGCCATTATGCTCTTTAGGGCCCTAAGAACAAAGACCAGAATATTACCTCTTTAAAGTCACCATGAAATCAGAATTGACGATTCTTACTCTTTTATGGAATATTGCAGTGTTTATTATAAATGATTTATCCATGAACATCATTATTTAAAAATCACGTGTCCTTGTAATCTTCAAAAAAAATAAAATAAATAAAAATGTGAAAAGACATTTGTAATTTACGTTTGATGCTGACTTTAATTTTGCTTGCCAGGTTCATGGTCGCTGTAAGAAAAACAATATCTCAGGAAGTAAGCATTATCTGACAGTGGCCAGCGGGGTCATGATGTCTGTTTTTGTGTCTCCAGTCATCGCAGCCATTACTGTGGGTAAGAAAATCATCCATTCACCTTGCTGGTTGCATATAACATGATGAACATTTAAAACACTGTGGTTATTTAACCTGCGCAGTACCTATTACTTCTATACACTCTTCTACGTATGTTTTACACAATGCACAAAGGTTTTTTTTAAATATACACTACTGTTTTGTTGTTTTTGTTTAAAAAAAAAAAAAGCTGGTCCCAAGATGGCGCCACGGATGGCCGCCTCGGTGTGGAGCTCCACAGTTGTTTTAATGTTTTTGTTAGTTTGTCCTGTTTTTGGTTATATTTCTACAATCAGTTTCACCAGGGACGAATTGCTGAACATTCGGCAATGCACCCCACCCAATATTTCACCAGTTTTTGACTATTCTGGTGTTTTACTGGACAATGTAGTTGGCGGAGCGGTGGTGCTGTTCAAGTGTTTTAAGACATGCAAGCGTGGGAAGCAAGCCGGCGTGCTCGTCAAGCTCAGACAGCGCGGTTTTAGAGCGGCGCTGCCTAGTATCCATCTGGCGAATCTCCACTCTCTACCCAACAAAACGGTTGAACTTCTTCTACTCTCCCAGATAAAGACTTTTCAAACTCTGTTGCTCTGTGTTTCATGGAAACCTGGCTGAATGAAGCCATTCCGGATAGCATGTTACATCTGCCGGGCTTCAAACTGTTCCGAGCGGATCGCGACAGAGAATTAACAGGGAAATCGTGTGGCAGCGGGACATGCTTCTACATCAACAAAAGGTGGTGTGCAGATGTAACAGCATTGAAGAAGATGTGCTGTCCCGATCTAGAAGCATTTTTCATCAACTGTAAGCCGTTCTACTCGCTGCGGGAATTTTCCTCATTCATTCTCGTAAGTGTCTACATTCCTCCGCAAGCATGTGTGAACGCAGCGCTGCAACAGCTGGCTGATCAGATCACAGACACAGAACAACAACACCCGGACTCTGTTGTAATCATTCTCAGTGACTTTAATAAAGCAAATCTGTCCTGTGAACTGTCAAAATACAGACCGCACATTACATGTCCTACAAGAGACTGTAATATACTGGAACACTGTTACACCAAAAGGATGCATATCACTCTGTCCCACGGGCAGCTTTAGGGCTCTATGATCACTGTCTTGTTCATATTATATCAACCTACAGGCAGAAACTGAAATCAGCTAAACCTGTAATAAGGACTATAAAAAGATGGACTAATGAAGCAGAGCAGGATTTACAAGCCTGCTTCGACTGAACTGGTTGGAGTGTTTTTGAAGCTGCTGCTAACGATCTGGACGAGCTCACAGACACTGTAACATCATACATCACTTTCTGTGGGGATATGTGCATTCCTACCAGGACTCATTTAACTTACAACAATGACAAACCGTGGTTCACTGAAAAATTCAGACAGTTTTATCAGGCCAAAGAAGTTGCCTACAGGAATGGGGACAGAGTCTTGTATAAACAGGCCATAAACACACTGACAAAGGAGATTAGAGTGGCTTAGAGAAACTACTCTGAAAAGCAGCTTTCTGCCAATGACCCTGCTTCAGTGTGGAAAGGACTGAAAGACATCACCAATTACAAGACACCATCCCCCAGCACTGTGTTGAATCAACAACTGGTCGACGATTTGAATGATTTCTATTGCAGGTTTGAAAACTCTCTCTCACACCCCACACCCATTCTGACATTCTCGCCATGGATCCATTAACACCTCCAGCAAACCCCACTTCGGATCAGTGAAGATGTGCGTCAGGTCTTCTGGAAACAGAAGACAAGACCAGGCCCAGACGGTACCTCCATCTATCAGTAGATCACCAGCTTCCTGACAGACAGGCAGCAGCTAGTGAGGCTGGGAAAATTCTCATCCAGCACCCATACGATCAGCACTGGCACCCCCCCAGGGATGTGTACTCTCCCCACTGCTCTTCTCCCTCTACAGCAACAACTGCACTGCAAAGGACTCCTCTGTCAAGCTCCTGAAGTTCGTAGATGGCACCACACTTATCGGCCTCATACAGGAGGGTGACAACAACCCTCCCCACTCTCCAAGAACTGCACTCATCCAGAGTGAGTAAAACAGCTGGCCAAATCATTCTGGACCCCTCACATTCAGGCCACTTCCTCTTTGAACTGTTGCTGTCTGATCGGCGCTACAGAGCACTGAGCACCAGAACGGCCAGGCATAAGAACAGTTTCTTCCCTCAGGCAATCCATATCATGAATAGTTAACTTGGCAATAAACACGTAAAAACAACACTATTTATATATTTATTTATTTAACACACCATACTTCATATTTACATTTCCTTGCATTTTAGCATACATGTACACACAAATACCATCTATTGTCTATTTTGTATATTGTTTTTTTTTTTAAATGTGTTGTATATCGCTATTTCCTATTTCCTATTTCCTTATTCTTTTTTATGATCTGTGTCTTGTCACTGTCATTCTGTTTGTGCTGTGGAAGCTTCTGTCACCATAACAAATTCCTTGTATGTGTAAACATACCTGGCAATAAAGCTCTTTCTGATTCTGAATCTAAAGGTCTTTGTCTATTTTTATATTATTGAATATGAATGTGAGGAATGGGGATATTTTGAAGTCGAGGAGTACTTCAGAGGTCATATTGTTGAGTTATGTCAATTTAAAGAAGCTGAATTAAGCATATTGATTGCTCTGGCACGAGTTCAGACAAATGAAGCTACTTAAGACACAAATCTGCCTCTCAGCTGAGACATTGAATAAGAAAAGCAGAACATGCTTAAAGGGATAGTTCACCAAAAAATAATTTACTCACCATCATGTCATTCTAATCCTGTATAGTTTTTTTTCTTCTGTGGAGCCTACAAGGTCATCTGAAGTCAAAACAGGCTGAAATTGGAACCATTATTCATTAAAAATGTAAGAAAAATTCTCTTGAGACAGATCTTTTCATCATGATTCAGGTGAATAAAAACTTGTGTTTAAGTCATCATATGACTTTCGGAAGACCACTTTTATGATATTCTTATATTATGGTGCATTTGCATCTGTTATGAAGCTTAAACGTTCTTGGAAGTTTTAATTGTAAATTGTAATTTTGTGGAATAGAGCAACTGGCCCATTATTAAAGAGTTCTTGTGTTCCACAAAAGCAAGCAATGATTTTATACAGCTTTAGAATGACTTGAGGGTAAACAATCAATATTTTGAGGGTTGAACTAATCCTTTAACATCCATATTGCACACACTGTAGCTTACATATTTGCATGCAGCTATTTCATTCATACTTGCACATACACACGGCGACTGCCGCGGTTGTCTCTGATGACTCATCTATCTTCTGCTCTGGCACTCTTGTGAGAGCTGGAGCGGAGAGGGCAAGATTACAGCAGCCGGCTGCAACTAAAATGCCAGATCTCCATGGCATAGCGTGAAGTCCTGAGCGCAGCACATTCACTACTCTGTGCTCTTCTCGCAAACCCAAAGCCTGCGTTCCCTCTCATTCTCCTCGCTGAATAGCCCTGTCTGTTCTGCAGCTCTGACCTCTCCTCAGGAGAGCCACAGTGAGGCCTTGTCCCCTTCAATGTCTTCATCAACAATGCCACTCTGTTCTTATCCAGAACCAGGAGGATCATGGCCTTTTGTCTCCCTTTATTGTGTGTTGTCCTGGTCTTTGCTGCTATCATTATGCCTCTTTTACATGTAGGGACCTAACTTGTACATTTATACAATATTTTCTGTGATTAATAATAAAAATCTTTCAGAATAAATTCTAATTTAGTAAATCTGTGTTTGAAGGGGTGGGGGTGCCTCTTATGTTGACGTATGTCTACGGGGTCGTGCCCATGTCGTTGTGCCGTAATGGCTGGTGCAGGCCACAAACTGAACCTCCTGAAGTACGGAACATACAGTTGGAAGATCTGGCAAATTGTAAGTCCAACTTCTTGAAATTTGGCTATATGAATATACATTTACAGTTAACTTAAATGTTGTACTGCTATTTTTTTTATTTATTTTTTTCTCAGTAGCCTGATGTTGTTCAGCTGCATTAAAAATAGCACTTTGCTTTTAACTCCAGTATAAAAATTTGAGGGCATTTATCTAGCAGTTTTATACTGCGATTTCTGTTTTTGTGCCAGAAAAAAATATGTAGAGATAATATAATACAGATATTAGAAGTTAGCTACTTTTTGCTAAGAGCTTTTAGTTTAGCTAACTACTTTTAAGAGTATCTTTGTTGTAGTTTAACAATCTTAATGCTGCAGTGCTTACTAGGAGTTTTTAGTGTTTCTAAAAAAATGTTAAGAGTATCTTTGCTGTAGTTTAACCACATTGAACAGCTTCTTTGTAGTTGCTAGAAAATGATCCTACTTTATTATAAATTGCTTATAAATCATTATGTATGAGTTTGAATTATGGAAACATTGTAACTGTTGTGCAGAAAGATTAATATTGTAACATTAAGCTCACAGTTTGGCCTGATCTGATGACATTTAAACTTCTCTTGAAGATCTTCTATTTTCTCATGTAGTCAGTGATCACTGGACCGGCCAGACCAACCCAGCTCTATCCGACGGAAGCATACAGGAAGTGAGTGTGAATGTGGAGGAAGTGATGTCGCTTCCCAGCACCAGTGTGGTCCAGTCTGGAGCAAAGGGCTCAGTTGAATCTTCTAATGATGGACATGTTGACAGCACTGAGCAGGTTGTTCAGTCAGACGATGTGGATGTAGTTGAAGAGTGTGCCTTCAGCAGCACACAAACATTTGCTCTGAGGTCAGCAAATTTTATGGCATAACTTAATTTCACTGGCAAATTTTTTACCCCAAAATATCAATAAGCAGTGAAGCAGTTCTGTTAAAATGTATACAGTACTATTCAAAAGTTTGGGGTAAGATTTTTAATGTTTTAGAAACAAGCCTCTTATGCTCGCCAAGGCAGGATTAATTTAATTAAAAATATAGTAAAACAGTAAAATTCTGAAATATTACTTGAATGTAAAATATCTGTTTTATATTTTAATATATTCCAAAATGCAATTTATTCCTGTGATGGTAACGCTGAATTTTCAGCAGTCATTACTCCAGTCTTCAGTGTCACATGATCTTCAGAAATCATTCTGAAATGCTGATTTAGTGCTCAAGAAATGTTTCTTATTATCAATGTTGAAAACAGTTGTGCTGCTTCATATTATGTTTTATTATTTGCTTTTCAGGATTCTTTGATGAATAGAAGGTTTTGTAACATGAATATAAATCTTATAAATATTATAAATGTCTTTACTGTCACTTTTGAACAATTTGATGCATAAAAGTATTAATTTCTTTAAAAAAAATTTACTGACCCCAAACTTTTGAACAGCAGTGTATTTTTTTTTCTAAGAAATGTGACCCTGGTGCACAAAACCAGTCTTAAGTCGCTGGGATATATTTGTAGCAATAGCCGAAAATACATTGTATGGGTCAAAATTATAGATTTTTCTTTTATGCCAAAAATCATTAGGATATTAAGTAAAGATCATGTGCCATGAAGATATTTTGTAAATTTCCTACTGTAAATATATTAAAACTTAATTTTTGATTAATAATATGCATTGCTAAAGACTTCATTTGGACAACTTTAAAGGCGATTTTCTCAATATTTAGATTTTTTTGCACCCTCAGATTCCAGATTTTCAAATAGTTGTATCTCGGTCAAATATTGTCCTATCATAACAAACCATACATCAATGGAAATCTTTTTTTATTCAGCTATCAGATGCTGTATAAATCTTATGATTGGTTTTGTGGTCCAGGGTCACAAATAATAAGACGAAATGATGCCAAACTACTTAAGGTTTTCTTTTCATGCTTATATCAAACTGGCCCTGACATTTATATCTCCTCAGAAATATATCAAAATGATTTTTAATATAGCTAATCATAGAATATGTGTATTCAAGTAAGAATTGCATTTTTAATGTTAATGTTTTCATGTTTGAATTATTAGAACATCAATGATTTCTTTTTCCCACAAGTCTGTTTTTGTAAAGTTGTTGTTGTTGTTGTTGTTTACAGCAGGGAAGGGACTAATATTGAGGTCCGTGTGGAGATCGAGGCCCAGCCACGGGACGGCCGGAAGCCAAGTCTCAGCAGTATTCTGTCTAGCAAGAGCCTGTCGGTGGAATCGCTCAGCCAGCCCTGTGAACCTCTGTGTGCCTCTCAACAGACAGGGAGCACCAACCCCATACCATTTCCTGAAATAGACAGCGCCTGAGCAAATCCTGGAAAACCACTGCTTCCACGACCCACCTACACTCCCACCGGGTGCTTCCAGCCTCTGCTTGCAAACGCAGAGAGTCAGCGACATGGAAACCAACACACAGAGAGCGTGAAAGAAAAAAAGAGAGGGGGAGATGAAGATGAGAGTCCAGGGCAGCTGCCAAAATGTCACGGAGGGGATTAAAGATGATCATATGAACTCAAATGACCAAGCGCATGTTTGTCAGCAAGTTTGAGGAGTGCTAACCGATTTTATACTGTGTTCTATAGAAGACATTGCCTATTTGGATGCTGGTCTGTTTAATTTATTCATTTAGCTTTTGTTTTAGCTATACCCTTTTATCTAATGACCATATGGTTCGTATCCCCTGAAAAAAGGAAAAATAATTAAACTACGGATTAATAGCATGGTTCATTCTGCCACAGTTGCTAGCCTGACATGTCATGTGACTAGAAACATGGTGAGATGTAACTCTTATGCTGCAGGCTAATGCTAACTTGGGTAATGGGCTTCCCCCCATGGTTCATTTCAAATTCATTTGAATTATGCAATTTTTTACTTAACTGTTGCATTTTCATGAAGGAGCAGCAAAATCTGGATTTAGGTCTAGAATTAGCCTTCAGCATCATGCTGTTTTTAATATGGTCTGATTATGATAATATTAGGTCAAAACTGATAATCTTAGGGAACTCAAACATCATGAGGACTCTGATTTTGAGTGATTCTCAGAAAACTGATGATCTTGTTTTACTCTGTTCACTTTTAGATCTTTATTTCTGCAGTAAAGGCATTTGTTTTTGCTGCTGTTATTGAGTACTTAATGAATCAAGAGTTTTGTCCGTTAACTAAAGAGAGCACAACATCTACATTGACAGTTTCAGCTTACCAAGTAATTCCTTGTATTGGTACCCCAGAGCCAACAGTTGAATAATGTCTAGACTACTGGTATTTTTGACACTTGGCTTCGATGGAGGAACTCAGAATGCTAGATCAGGCCTCAAATACAAACTTTACGCTATGTCCTATTCAAAAATGAACAGCGGGCAGCCCTGTTTAAAGTGTAAAAGACCTCCAGGAGTTTCCAAAACTGAACCTTCATAACTGCACTGCAGATTGGGAACAATGAATGGAACAGTATGTCAATAAAAATATTTGTATTGAATGGTGATTGGAAGAATTGTTATGTTTTCTTCTCGGTTGTCCAATATTTTTCATTTTCATTTATGGGTTGGATGTTATTTTATGTTCTACGTAGTTTCTGTTTAAACCTGTTTGTCAGCATTTCTATAAGGCACAGACAGAGGGTGCTAGGTCTCTAAAAACGCACTCGATCAATGATACCTGCTGCATCTGGAGTCCAATAGGAAATCAAGCAGTACAGAGTTGTATATGTTCAACTCTCTTTTTTTTTATATTTATTTGAAATAATTCAGAATTTTAAGAAAATACCTTACCAACTAACTAAACCAGACCATGAACATGATTTGGGGCATAATAGATGCATTATTTGTTGATGATAATATTTGAATATTTCTATTGTCTATTGGAAATTGGTTCAGAACAGTAGCAACATCATAGATAGATAGAGAGAGAGAGAGAGAAATTAAATTATTCATTATATCCTCAATATAAAATATTTTATAAAATAAGCTGTTTCAAGAGAAATAAGCCTATTGCTGTTGTAAACCCATTATAGATTCAGGTTGTTTTTATCATGAAATCATTTTATTTATTTATTAATTCATTCATTAAAAAAAAAATTATGTGGCCAAGCTTGTACACGTGCAGTAGTTACAATGAACATCAAATAATAAACACTATTATTATTATTATAAATCTATATTATTATAATATAATTCAAATCACCACCAGTCATTCATTACGATCTATTTATTCCGTGTGTTAATTTTTGTATATTTCAGTAACAGTATTTTCAATTAGTTATTTTTTTGTATATTTTATATCAGTGCTCATGGTCATGACACTACAAGTTTATTAGAAAATGAATTTAATACTGATATTTCTGCTTCTAAATGATATGACAGGCGATATGATATGATATGATATAAATATATAATACTATTATATGCTACATAATGCATAAAGCGATAATAACATAGGCCTATATTTAAAAAGTTTCATTGTTACAGTCTTTACGTTGGTCACAGAATGACCCGGATGAATAATTATGATTCACTCCAAGCTTCTCATGGTTGTTCTTCTCCTTTCATCATGAAGCGTCAGCGGGTGTGTGAAGGGTGCAGCTTGTGGATCTCCGTCAGTCGGGCAGGGAAGGGTTAATGTTACAGTACAGATACAGGACTGTGAGCCGGTGTCTATAGGCTGCTCGTGCTCACTCGCTCCATTCAGTACTCGCTGCATGCTACTCTACTTTCCCCATTCCCACAGTGGGCACCAAAGAAGAGCTCTGCACCTGCTCTACACCTTCCAGCATGGATGCGCTAAAATCCGCCGGGAGAGCAATAATCAAAAGTCCCGGAGTTCCGCGGCACACATGGGGAACGTCCAAGCATGAAAGTGAGTAACCTGCGTTTATCTCTGTTTACATATACTGAATACAACATGCATCAGTGCTGATGATCACGCGATGCTCTGATAACACTGTCTTCCTCAAGCTACCTGAACATCTTTCATATGTCGTTTTACTGTAATGTGATATATATATATATATATTTATTTATTTATTTATATAAAATAATTTTTTATTAATGCAGTGCTTTTTGCTTAAATATTCATATAGCTAGCTTTTATTTGTCTCTGCATAGTGTGAGATACTCTTCTGTGAATTGCAATTGTGAATTGTTTAATTGCACATCTACAGTTAATTCCAATTAGAAATTTTGCAGTGCATTGGATTCTTGCCCAATGTTGACCCTACAGATAAAAGTCTGGCCACTGTAAAAAGATCCTCACTTTTTCCCATGTGTGTAAGAAAATCCAAATTAGATTGCATAGATGTTACCACTGAACTGTTCAAGGTTGACTGGGTTTATGAAATGTGTTGAAACTTGGTCAGGCTCGGAGAGACACCTGGCCACGCTGTGCAAATAAAATCACAGTTCCAACTTTCACACTCTCACTGACTCCAAATCACACTTCATCCATTTATGTTTTAATGATTGAATCAGTTGGCCGGTGCTGTCAGCTTTTGATCTGTCAGGAGGATGAATCGAGTGCTCTTGTATGGAAAAGAGGGCAGTGGTTTTATGAAACAGCCCGTGTCACATCAGCGGTGACAGACAGGAGCCTGAGGCTCGACACACTGTCATTCTGATGTGTGAGATGTGAAGTTCATGAGGCACTCTGGGGACAAAACATCCTCATTCCCACTTGAACTGTGTGCCAGGCATACAGCTGGAGGAAGTCTGCTTGTCTCTTGTTGCTGAGAGTATGTATATTTTCTAAAAACCAAGAAAATTAGCATAATAAATTATTTAAATCAACAGTTGTGTCTTGGGAATTTAGATGTGCTCCCTTTGGATTAAATATTAATGATTTGATGGCTGTCTTTCTAGCAATGGTTTGTATTTCAGAGACAGAGTGAGAAGGAAGGCATGATTTCTCACAAAGGACTATTATATAGAAACCTAAATCTTGAAGACGATGCCAGTTACATTTTTTTAAAAGAATAGTTAAAAAGTAAAAATTCGATTGTCATTTATTCACCCTCATGTCATTCCAGACCTGAATGCAAAGAAAGAAGATATTTTGAAGAATGTCTCTCTTATTTTTGTACATGAATAAAAGTCATTGGGATTCAAACCAAAGAAATGAATGCTTTTATTTAGCAAGGACACATTCAATTGATCAAAAGTGATAGTAAAGACATTTACAATGTTACAAAAGATTTCTATTTCAAATAAATGCTGTTCTTTTGTATTCATCAAATATTCCTAAAAATATGTATCGTGGTTTCCACAAAACTGTTTTCAACAGCTCAAATGATTCAGCATTGATAATAGTAAGAAATGTTTCTTGAGCAGTAAATCAGCATATTAGAATAATTTCTGAAGGATCATTTGATACTGAAGCCTAAATTCAGCTTTGCATCACAGGAATAAATTACATTTGGAAAATATATTAAAATAGAAAACAGTTGTTTTAAGTTGTAATAATATTTCCCAATATTTCATTTTTTACTGTATTTTGATCAAATAAATGTAGCCTTGTGAGAATAAGAAAATTCTTTCAGAAGCATTAAACAAATCTCACCAACCCCAAACTATAAAGTGTAGTGTATGTACAAAAAAATAGACATTTTTAGCCTATGTGTTTGAAACACTCAGAGCATGCAGTTTTGAAAACGATTAAACTTTTGTGCTTTCATAAAAAAAAAGTGAAATTAAATATTTTTAACTCAAAGGGGAGCAGATTCAAGTACAGCATACAAACAAGTGAATAATGAATAGTTTTTGGGCTGGTCTGATGAATATTCATGGGAGGCTGGTGTTGTCTCTCAAGTGTGCATTTGACTTGATGAAGGTCAGAGTTTTCACTGGCACTCATTAAAAGTGAAATTTCATGTTTTATTTTACCAAAAGAGAATGTTCAACCTAAAATATCACGTTTGGCCTCCTATAGATGCTGTCTTTTTTTCAGAGAGTTGGTGTGTGTAATATCATGCACATAGAGAGATGTCACTATCAATTCTCGTTGTGTCATTAAAATAACATTGACAGTTCCAAAGGTCACATTAGTTGCTGCAAGTGTTAGATGCCCTTCCCATTTTTTACACTGCAAGCTTTTGCAATTTCTAGTGTAATAACCCCTCGGTGGGAAATAACAGGCTTGAGCAGTAACTTCCCTGCTGATAATGTAGACATAAAGAAAGCTATTTTAAAAAATAAACACAAATTATGTTAATACTTTACTGTTTGATCATAAATCTTTATGTCAGAACTTCTTAGCTGGTACAGTTGTGTCAATCCATGTTTAAGTAAAGCAGACATTCTGGCTTTGGATGAACCAATTACAGGAAGGATGTCAGCAAATTTATCACATTGACCAGACGCAGTGTAAAGAACAGGGACGTTACACTGACATCAGAGAAGTGGTCTCCATGTGCCATTTTCAGTTATCAGATTCAGAAGTGGATAAGGTGACCGTGCACACAGACTGACTTATGCCTACACAAACACTGTGGGTAGAAAATTCTTACACATACTGACGCCCATATGCATACATATGCTCATGTACACCACAGTTCAAGAGTTTGGTGTTGGTGAGATTTGTTAATGGTTTTGAAAGAAGTCTCTTATGCTCTTTATTTGATCAAAAATGCATAAAATACTAATATACTGGTTCCTACTTTAAAATGCACTTTATTCCTGTGACAGCCAAGCTTAATTTTCAGCTACTCCAGTCTTCAGTGTCACGCGATCTTTCAGAAATAATTCTAATATGCTGATTTGCTGCTCAAGGAACATTTCGCATTATTATCAATGTTGAAAACAGTTGTGCTGCTTAATATTTTTGTGGAATCATTGATCATTTTTTTTCAGGATTCCTTGCTTAATAGAAAGTTCAAAAGAACAGCATTTCTTTAAATAGAAATCTTTTGTAACATTATACATGTCTTTATTGTCATTTCTGATTAATTTTTACGGCATCCTTGAATAAAAATATTAATTTCTTTCAGAAAAAATCAGAGGCCACTTTTGAACATTAGTGTACATATGCATATTTATGGATGGAAAAATACCGATCATATAGTGTGCAGAAAATGATTCCATACAACACTGAATCAATGATTGAAGCGTGCATGTGAGCTCATCCTAAGGATGTTTCCGGTGAAAAAGTAGAATTTGTAGTTTTTATCGTTATACTCTTCTCATTATTTTTGATTTATGGTTTCTTGTGTCAAGTTCTGTTGCTAGAAAGTAAAGGATTCTTGGCTGTTTCGTTAACGTTCTCTACATTTTATCATTCAGCCTATTCTTGTTTAATCATTTATCATACAAATTATAAGTTAGTGTAATAACATATTCTTTAGATTCATTTACTTTGATATTTCACCCATATAGTGATTTTGTTTTGCTAAATGCTTAAATGTTGGAATAAGTATGAATCTGTGCCAGGTTCGAGTTTCATTCATTTCTTCTGGTAGCAGGGAAGTTTCAAGAGTGTCTATTATGTTCAAGG